AGCGTAGTTCGTAATTCGGATCTTTTCTGTTTCATGAACCGCGTTCAAATAAAACTAAATATCTATTTTTGGAATGTAGTTTTTTTTTTAAATCCTGATTTCAGAAATATAAATTAAAATTTGGAGAAATGAAAAGAAATATTTTTAATTTGTTAGGTTACGTCAGTTTATGTAAGGTTAGATCAAGTTAGACTAATTAGAAAATAATTACATGTTTAATCAAATAAAAACTTTAAAAATGAAAATATCTTCCATTCCTTCCCCCAATTTTAAAAATCAGTTCTCCAAATTTTAATTTATATATATCTGAAATCTGCAGTAAATTGAAAGTACTTGGAATGTTGCTAAGTGACGTAACAAGCGACATTGTGGAACCAATCGTAACGTGATTGACTCGTATCTCTGCGAGTTCGTTTGGCGTCGTAGACATGAAAATGACGATCTCTTCAAGCAAATATTTAAGAATATTACTGAATTTTCACGTTGAGTTTGTTACATTGTCATTAGATACTTTCTATTATATTGATGTTTTTACAATTCTTTTAAATACATAGGTACATATGTAATGTTAAAAGTACTTCCTTTGTTTCGTAAGCAATATATAATATTTCTTTTCATTTCTCCAAATTTTAATTTATATTTCTGAAATCAGGATTTAAAAAAACACTACATTCCAAAAATATATATTATTTTTATTTTCATGAAACAGAAAATACCCCATAATTGTTCCAGAGGTGGGTTTTTGACAAGCTAAAATGGTTTTTCACGAATTTCTCTGTCTCGGTCTCTCCCAGTTTTTAGACGATCATAATTACTAGGCATGGAACAAGAAACGTTGTCTCCAAACCGAACCTTCCAAACAGTAGTAGTTCCCAATCGACGGTTTTAACAAAGTCCATTAGAAGTCCAGATCACGCAACACGCCTTCTATATATCTAGCTTAATTCTGTGTCTTTCTTAACACATCAAAATGATAAACCCGTGTCTTTCTCAACACACCAATATGATAAACCCGTGTCTTTCTCAACACACCAATATGATAAACCCGTGTCTTTCTCAACACACCAATATGATAAACCCGTGTCTTTCTCAACACACCAATATGATAAACCCGTGTCTTTCTTAACACACCAATATGATAAACCCGTGTCTTTCTTAACACACCAATATGATAAACCCGTGTCTTTCTTAACACACCAATATGATAAACCCGTGTCTTTCTCAACACACCAATATGATAAACCTATGTATTTCTTAACACATCAGTATGATAAGCTTATGCCTTTCTTAACACATCAATATGATAAACCCGTGTCTTTCTCAACACACCAATATGATAAACCCATGTCTTTCATAACACATCAGTATGATAAGCCTATGCCTTTCTTAACACATCAATATGATAAACCCGTGCATTTCTTAACACACCAATATGATAAACCTGTGTCTTTCTCAATACAACAATGTCATAAGCCTGTGCCTTTCTTAATACAACAATGTGATAAGTCTGTGACTTTCTTTCCTAATACAACAATGTGATAAGTCTGTCACTTTCTTACCTAATACAACAATGTAATAAGCCTGTGACTTTCCTAATACTATAATATGAAGCATTCAAGTCCCATGAAGTTTTCACAGATCGTCGTTCATCATCAGTGGCGGTAATAAAAACAATGAAAAAAAGTAAAATAATTTACACAAACGGGTAAAAAAGTAATATAATAACAAATTATGATAAAGAATAAACAGAACAGTAGGGTTTAATAGCAAGTGTTGAACAATAATGGTAAGACTGTAGGGTTTAATAGCAAGTGTTGAACAATAATGGTAAGACTGTAGGGTTTAATAGCAAGTGTTGAACAATAATGGTAAGACTGTAGGGTTTAATAGCAAGTGTTGAACAATAACGGTAAGACTGTAGGATTTAATAGCAATAGTTGAATAATAATGGTAAGACTGTAGGGTTTAATAGCAATAGTTTAACAATAATGGTAAGACTGTAGGGTTTAATAGCAATAGTTGAACAATAACGGTAAGACTGTAGGGTTTAATAGCAATAGTTGAATAATAATGGTAAGACTGTAGGGTTTAATAGCAATAGTTGAACAATAATGGTAAGACTGTAGGGTTTAATAGCAATAGTTGAACAATAATGGTAAGACTGTAGGGTATAATAGCAAGTGTTGAACAATAATGGGAAGCGTATAGGGTTTAATAGCAAGTGTTGAACAATAATGGGAAGTCTATAAGGGGCTTGGGTTAACTGTTATCAATACTGTTTTCCAAAATATTTTTTTGACTTTTTACCTGTTTGTGTAATTTTCTTTGTCCTTTTTTCAGTTTTTTTTTTTATTGCATAGATTCGTGCATCATTTGCTCCGGCACTGAGGGTGAAAAACTGAAATGGCTGTTAACTCATAAAAAGGAGGGGGGGGGGTTAAGATGCTTTAAAATACCTTCGAGACATACTCAGATCCCCTGAAAGTTTCATATTTCATGGGCAGACAGACATACAGACACAAAACACTTTATTGTATGTGTCAACGATATGAGGAACCGTTCCTTGGTTGACTCTGCAGTGACGATAAATAAGAATGTTACATATTACTTATTTCTACTCCAAGAACAATAAAGTAAAAAAAATAAATAAATAAAAAACATGCGCATAGAAGATTGCATTGTATTATACAGGTGGCGCCCTTTCGCGTGGACTTGCCGAAAGACGTCGTACCAAGTCCAAATTCTGAAGAGTTAGTTCCAGGAATTCAGACATGCGCATTGTGATTATTTGTACTCGGTCTGTGTGAAGAATGGAAGTAAATATACGCCGCGTATGTAAATGTAAATAAACAAATGTCGGAACTGTTAAAATAAAGCCTGGCAACAACTTTACAGTTAGTAATTATCATAGTTGTTATCATAATGAGAGTGTATTGGGTAGGGTAAGTCATCATACAGCTACATCACGTGTATATCATATTGTGTTTTATATAAATAAATCTGAATAATAAATATAAACATTGTCTAAACAAAGAGGCAGCCATTTTTACCCATGTGGTATGTTTGGATGCACAAATATACATCAAAAACAGACGGGTAAGTTTCGCAGAATAACGGGAGGGTCGGGTAGAAAATGTTAATCGGGGTGAAACTGTAGTCTCTGGTTTTGACTGAGGTGTGGAAGAAAGAGACTGGACACAGCGTGTGATAATAATAATGTGAAGCAATCTTTATTTATTGATACAAAAAGGCAAACCTAGTGTCTACGACGGGACAGAGTCCTTTCTTGAGGTTTGAGAAATCTCGGTGATATATGCTGGGAAATGGTAGAAACATTTGTGAATAACTGTTCCAGAGTGAGAAAGCGTAGTATTATATACACAAAACAATTTTATTATTCTTGGGGCGCGTGTACTACCCACATCACTGTTAGTGATTTCCATAAACAAAAAAAAGGGGGGTATTCTTAAGATATCGGAAAATATCATTGTCTATTTTCGTATTGTTCAACTATACAGAAATATTTCTCACAAGAAGGCGCACGTGATACCATAAGTGAATGACTCAGAACAATTGGCAGCTAGCTTGAAAGGAACTTGGTTACTTCCTTGATCAATCTTACAAAGTTAAAACTACATACATTTGTATGTATGAAAGATTGTTTCATACTCCACCTGTTATAGTAAAGACAGGCCACAAACACCTTGAGTGAGCCAATACAACTCATAAAATAAGAAGAAAAATATCCACTCAGTTCTGTGTTGTTGTTTTTTCGTTTTTATTATGCGTTCAACCTTTATACTCTTCCATTCCTAAAGAAAGAGAGAGAGACTAGAACTATTCAGGTTTCCATCTAAAACTAGCAGTCGAGTGTAAATATGAATGTGTATAACCAACACCTAATTACTTTCCACACCACATCTAAACCCATATAAAAGTTCCAATGGGGGAAACAACCCGTACCATCGACGTTGCAGTCATTAGTATGGGCTTTGTTATCTAACGTAAATCAAAATACATCCATATAATAAGAAAAATCAATCCTAGTGTGTTTAACACTGGTTTTTATGTTTGTCGGTATTAATAACACGTTTTATTTCTTCTAGTACAAATAAGAACAAAAATCAAAGTTTGATATATTAAAAGATCCGGAGTTTGTGATCATGCAATTTCTCTAATGATGCACCAAATAGTACAATATTTTTTTAAATATAGCATTTCTGTCTAGCCAGCTGTTTCTAATTACGATAATGATGACACTTTTAATATATATATTTTTTTTGCATAAAATTAGGGTAAGTATAGGTCCAATATTCGTATTAGTTTTGAAGAAAAACTAAATAATTATAAGTATTTACAGAAACCTTGACTGGCTATGTGCACGTAGAGAAGATATTTAATGGACAGCATTATTAACTTTCGTGTACCCCCTCCCCCCACCTCGGTAGCGCAGTAGATATGTTGCGTCAAGCTTATGGAGGCGGGGGGGGGGGAGTAACGTAGGACACTAAATGCTTTACAACCCCTTAGTGTATAAGCCTAAATTTGGGGTCACGTGCTTTTAACAAGCAAAAATGAATGGGTCGGTTGAAAGATTGAAATAAAAAGATGGGCTCGTGCAGGACTGTCTAAAATGGGGGGGGGGTCTGGTTTAAGTATTGCACTACTAGGGGTTTAAACGTTGCACTAAAATATAAATGTTTCACAACCCCTTAGTGTTTAGGCGTTGCACTAAAATGTACGTGTTATTTGTAATAGAACTGTGGTGAAGGGGATTTTGCGCTACGTCCGACTACATTTACCTGTTTATGGTGACTTGTACACTGACTCTTTACCTGTTTATGGTGACTTGTACACTGACTCTTTACCTGTTTATGGTGACTTGTACACTGACTCTTTACCTGTTTATGGTGACTTGTTGAAGTTACAGATTTACCTGTGGTTGTATGTATGTGTCTACGCAGTACGCTTCTGCAGTTTGTATTTAATCAAATGTGAGACAGAAAACATTTTTCTTCTGAGTTCCGGAAGAGATCTAAGGTGATGTTTTAAAATAGTTCCAGAATGAATCCGCTTGGGGTAATTGGTTTGGTTTTCTTTGTTTTAAACTTTGTGCAGACCTACACGAGGGATATCTGCGCTAGCCGTCCCTAATTTAGCAGTGAAGGATTAGAGGGAAGGCAGTTATTCCTCACCACCCACCGCCAACTCTTGGGCTACTCTTTTGCCAACGAATAGTGGGATTGACCGTCACATTATAACGCCCCCACGGCGTTATAACCACCTTGGGGTAAATACTTTACATTGTTTTCTGTTTGTGGTTCTGTGTAAATCACAAACCGTTTGTAGGGATAAACTTGTACTTCGTTACAGAAATTTTCGGCTTTTTGCTAGCTGTATGACTGAAGTTACATTAACAACACATTTTATCAAGATACATTCTGGCTCTAATTCTCACCAGATGAGCATTGTAGCGAAATTCAACAAAGACAGAAGCAGCTATTATATAGCCTTCAATAATTTAACTTAGTGATATTAGTTGGAAAAGAAAAACGTCATTAAGCCAGCGGTTTAGCGATTCGTCAGTTTTCTTAACGCGAGGGTTCAGTAATTGTTGTTCAGTTCATTATTCCATTTTTTGAAAGGAAAAGAAAAAACATTTTACAAATGCTTGGTAATTATTTGTTCAAAGACGAGGTTTGGGTTGAAATTATCAACCGCGAGGGGGCAGTGTTTCTGTAAGTGCTCTTTTATAATTGAAATGTTATAATAGGTGATATTATTATCAGTGTAATTCTAAAACAATATTTTTGTGGGGTATATAACTTACGTTTTAAAGATTAAGATCTTTTTTAGGTGGCGGGCATGGTCAGGTGGTCAGGGAGCTCGGGTTCGAATCCCCGTCCCACCAAACATACTCGCCCTTTCAGCCGTGGGGGCGTTATAACGTGACGGTCAATCCCACTATTCGTTGGTAAAAGAGTTCACGGTGGGTGGTGATGACTAGCTGCTTTCCCTCTAGTCTTACACTGCTAAATCAGGGACGGCTAGCGCAGATTGCCCTCGTGTAGCTTTGCGCGAAATTCAAAACAAACAAACCTTTCTAGGTGTCACAATTTCTACATTAAGTTATTATTTTTTTTAAAAAAAGGTCATCGCTACGCTACTAAGCTTCGTATGAAAATGACATCGTTTTAATAAATTATTCGAAAATATCTATTTTTTTACGTACAAATTTTCAGCCGCACTGATTGATTCAAAATACGAAATGTGTTGTTTGTTTTTTAACACTTTTTTTTTTAATCCAGCTATGCCAAACGAAGCGAGCCATAGCTGAGTGTAAAAATCGAACTACAGGCGTTCTTCACATATGCGCTATACGTGTTAAGCCATACTGGTGCGGTAAGTATCCAAATCCAATATCAAGAAAAACTTTGTTTGTCTGTCTGTGGACGTATCTCCTCCTAAACGAGTTGATCGATCCAAACCAAACTTGGCATGCTAACTTATTAGTCCAAAAACAAATTCATATTACCAAACTTGGCATGCTAAATTATTAGTCCAAAAACAAATTCATATTACCAAACTTGGCATGCTAACTTATTAGTCCAAAAACAAATTCATATTACCAAACTTGCCATGCTAAATTATTAGTCCAAAAACAAATCCATACTACCAAACTTGGCATGCTAACTTATTAGTCCAAAAACAAATTCATATTACCAAACTTGGCGTGCTAAATTATTAGTCCAAAAACAAATTCATATTACCAAACTTGGCATGCTAACTTATCAGTCTAAAAACAAATTCATATTATCAAACTTGGCATGCTAACTTAGTCCAAAAACAAATCCATATTACCCAACTTGGCATGCTAACTTATTAGTCCACAAACAAATTCATATTACCAAACTTGACATGCTAAATTATTAGTCCAAAAACAAATCCATACTACCAAACTTGGCATGCTAACTTATTAGTCCAAAAACAAATTCATATTACCAAACTTGGCATGCTAAATTATTAGTCCAAAAACAAATTCATATTACCAAACTTGGCATGCTAAATTATTAGTCCAAAAACAAATTCATATTACCAAACTTGGCATGCTAACTTATCAGTCTAAAAACAAATTCATATTATCAAACTTGGCATGCTAACTTAGTCCA